GAACTCAGGAGTAGTGGTTGTGTATGGAAAGAGACCTGGATAAGGGAAATCTCTTTGTTTACTCTGTCACACTATTTACATTATCATATGCAAATATCTATTCAAATAAATAAGCTTTTGTTATTTAAAAAAATGAAAATTCAAAGTGCTCATATAAAAGTCTATGTGATTAGGCCAGGCCTAGTGGCTTACACCTGTAATTCCAGCACTTTGGGAGGCCAAGGTGGGAGGATCACCTGAGGCCAGGGCCCAGCAACATAATAAGACCCTATCTCTACAAAAAAATTAAAAATTAGCCAGGCATGGTGGTGCACATCTGAGTCCCAGTCACTCAGGAGGCTGAGTCTAGAGGATCACTTGAGTTCAGGAGGTTGAGGCTGCAGTGAGCCATGATTGTATTACTGCACTCCAGCCTGGGGGAGAGAGTGAGACCATGTCTCTTTTTTTCTTTTTTTGAGACGGAGTCTTGCTTTGTCGCCCAGGCTGGAGTGCAGTGGCGCGATCTCGGCTCACTGCAAGGTCCGCCTCCTGGGTTCACGCCATTCTCCTGCCTCAGCCTCCTGAGTAGCTGGGACTACAGGCGCGCAGCACCATGCCCAGCTAATTTTTTGTATTTTTAGTAGAGACGGGGTTTCACTGTGTTAGCCAGGATGGTCTCGATCTCCTGACCTTGTGATCCGTCTGCCTTGGCCTCCCAAAGTGCTGGGATTACAGGCGTGAGCCACCGTGCCCGGCAAGAGACCATGTCTCTTAAAAAAAAAAAAAATCTGGATATGAGTCTCTTCTAGAAATACAAGAAGCAGCTCTGGACACACCAGGAGCCAGAGCTGAAATGTGTCTGTCCTTCAGCCCAGGGGTCCAGGGTACCCACTGTCCTCACCTGTCTGGACCCTAAGGGCCTCTGCACTGCTGACCCCAGGTCTATGCTGCAAAAGCTAAGGCTTATTAGGTCTACAGAGTGAGGAGCAGGGCTGAGCAGTCTTCCCCAAGGTCAGGGGTTGTTACTTAGCTCTCCTTTGCTGATTTCACTCTCAACTCCAAAGGCCCCATCAAGGCCATGGCAATTCTAAGGCAGGTGAACGTTGGTATTGGCATCACAAGCGTGCTAGTCTTGCATAAGAATCTGTTAACTCAGTGTCAGTGGGGACTCAACGGCCTCTGGTCTCACTTCCCATACCAGGGCCTGAGGGTTTTGATTAAATTCAAAGGCAAGTCCTGCAGAGAGGGTGCCACCAGTAGCCCCTCGGGTAGCTTGGTCCCAGGGTCTTGACAAGGAAGTGGATGACAAGGTGAAGACCCAGTGATTGAGGTGCAGCTGCAGGTAGGCAGGCCCGGCTTACATCCTGACTCCTGAACTGAAACTTTGGACAAGTCACCTTCCCAAGGCTCAGTTCCCTCATCTGTAGCCCAGAGCTAGTATTACCTGCATGCTGTTTCCAGGAACAGGTGCCTCCACCAATCACAGCAGCAGTGTCTCATCGACCTTGTGAGTGGAAACCCTTGTGAGGGTTCTCCAGATAAACAGAAGCAACAGGAGAGAGAGAGAGAGAGAGAGATGGATTTTAAGGAATTGGTTCACATGACCGTGGAGGCTGATAAACTGGAACTCGGTAGGGAAGGCTGGCTGGCTGGCTTAAAGCTCAGACAATATCTCTACATTACATCTTGCGGCAGAACTTCTCCTTTTCCAGGAAACCTTGGTTTTTGCTCTGAAGGCCTTCGGTTGATTGATTGAGGCCCATATTACTGGTGATAATCTCCTTTACTTAAAGTCAACAGTTTTAGATATTAATTACTTGTACAAAATACTTTCTCAGTAATATCTAGACTAGGTTTTTTGTTTTGTTTTGTTGTCATTGTTGTTGTTGTTTTTGAGATGGAGTTTCACTGTTGCCGAGGCTGCAGTGCGGTGGCTTGATGTCGGCTCACTTCAACCTCTGCCTTCCGGGTTCAAGTGATCCTCCTGCCTCAGCCTCCAGAGTAGCTTGGATTACAGGCGCATGCCACCATGCCCACCTAATTTTTGTATTTTTAGTAGAGACGGGGTTTCACCATGTTGGCCAGGGCCTCAGCCTCCCAAAGTGCTAGGATTATAGGCATGAGCCACCACACCTGGCCTAGACTAGTATCTAATAAGACAGTGGGCACCATGGCCTTGCCAAGTTGACACACAGCATTTAGCCAGTACAGAAAATAAGACTCCCTTTCTGTACATGAGGAAATTCAAGCTCAGAGAGGCTGTGCCAACTGCTTAAGAACATAGAGCACACAGTGGATGGAGCGGGGAGTCGAACCCAGGCAGCGCACCACCTCCACACTCTGAGAATGGGGCTGCAGGTAGCTGCTTCACAGGGGGCCTGTGAGAGTTGAAACACACAGTGCCTGGTACCACACTACAGTAGAGACACAATTCAATTTGGTAGTGACTGTTAACTACCGTTAACACAGATCATTCAATAATGGGGTGACTGTGGGAGCAGGGAGAGGAGACAGGGAGGAGGGGGCTGCTGTCCCCCACCATTGGAGATGGGTTTTAGGGTGGCAGCAAACCCTTTCCTCTTTCCAGAAGGGCCCCCTTTCTTCCTTCTAGGAACCTCCAAGGAGGGAGCCAAGGAGGGTGGGAGGCCTCTGCCAGGCTGTGGGCCCTGGGTGCTGTGCAACTGGGCCCAGAATAGCTGGCCAGGTGCAGGGGAAAGAGTGAGCAGTATCCACCAGTGTGTGGGGTCTGGAAGGAGTCCTGCCTTCTGAGGCTGTGGCTGGCTGCCCAGAAGTTCCTGGAAGTGGGCAACCTCTCCTGAGTTGGGTGGCCGGCGGCTGGCCAGAGCCTTGGCCAGCCTCCTTGGCTAAGTGCCCCCATCTGCCTGCCCAAACTGGTCCTGTCACCCAGAAATAGAAAAATGCCTCCCCTGAGACCTGAGACCCTTGAAGCTGCCCCAGCCTCATTCTTCCCTTCTTCTTCACCCCGCCCCCACAGGGTAGAGTGCTGGACCGGAAGCCAGAAGGGCCAGGAGGTCAGCCACACTCCCCACTTGCTGGCTGCATGACCTTGGGCAACTTAACTATTCTGAGCCCCTGTCCCTTGTATGGGTTAATAATTGTACTGACATCTGTAGGGTGGCCGTATGGGGGCTCTGGGGTTGTGCACATAATCACAGAGCCAGGTCAAACATTTGCACACACCGGCTGCTGCTGCCATCTTTGCTCAGCAGATTCGAATGCTCCCTGGCCTTCTCCTTATTGGCCCTGCCTAGCTGATCCACGCTCACTCTCTTCTCACTCCTGCTCCCCTTTGTTCCAGCTCCCTTGTGTCTGGAAAGAAGGGGTGCGGGTAGGCCTTTAAATGCCAACAGGGCCAGAGAGAAATAAGGTCCCTGAATTGGTGGATAATTGCACTGTTGATGATGGCAGGATTCTAACGTCTCCTGGCCTGGCTCTACCACACACCCCTCCCTCTCCCCTGCTCTCTTGACTCCAGCCTCCCTGTCTTCCTCCATGCTTCTTCTCCACATCAGGCTCCCTCTAGCCTTCACTGAGGGCCCCTCAGCCTGGTCATTCTGTCCCAGGTGTCATCTCCTTGACACCAGGGTGCAGCCCTGAGGTGGGTCCCCCTTCCCATGCCGCCGTTCTCCAATCCAGCACCCTTGTCCCCACTGGTCACAGCCTGCTACGGCTTCTTTGCTGATGTCTGTCTGCCCAGCAGCTCAGAAGGACAGGGAGGGAGCTTCCCCACACTGCGCATCCTCATCCCCACAAGCCCCGGCAGTGGATCAGGCAGACCAGGGCCCCTTGAAGGTGATGAGGCAAGGGCAGGCACAGCTGGCCACAGGAGAGGGCTCAGCCTGTGCCTGCCTCTGCCCCATTAGGGGCCCTAATCTGCCTGATCCACATGTAGGGGCTTGGGGGGATGATGACAAGCATGGAGGAATCCACCTCTGGGCCAGTCCCTTCCAGGGAGCCACTAATAGCTAGCCTGATCCTTCCCCTAGCCACTGACCCCAGACCCTTCTCCAGAGGCTGTGAGCGCAGTGTGGGAGACATAGAAATCAGGACATCTGGGTCTCCCTGCAGCCCAAACATCACTTTCTGTGTGACCTCAAGCAAGTCCTCTCCCCTCTCTGAGTCTTAGTCTCCCTGGCTGTAAAATGACTTAGGGCTGGGAACACACACTGGTGCCTACAAGGCCAGGAAGGTGTCGCTGCTTGGACATTACATTCCTCAGGGTTGGGGACACACTGAAGGGAGGGCTGATAGAGAATTAGAGACAGCACACCCTGCCTGGGCCAGCCCAGGCGCTCCAGGTCTGCTGATTCCTCAAAAGAAGCTGAACATCTGAGGCTTGATGAGAAATCTCCTGCTGGTTAAATGTTGACAAGGAATTCACATTTTATTATAAAACAAGAACGTCAGGCACAGTGGCTCATGCCTATAATCCCAGGCCGAGGATTTGGGAGGCAGAGGCGGGCAAATCACAAGGTAAGGAGATGGAGAACATCCTGGCTAACACGGTGAAACCCCGTCTCTACTAAAAATACAAAAAATTAGCCGGGCTTGGTGGCAGGCGCCTGTAGTCCCAGCTACTTGGGAGGCTGAGGCAGGAGGATGGTGTGAACCCGGGAGGCGGAGCTTGTGGTGAGCCGAGATTGCGCCACTGCATTCCAGTCCGGGCGACAGAGCGAGACTCCGTCTCAAAAAAAAAAAGCAAGAACTACGTGGGCCACACAGAATTTATCTAGGCCATAGTTTGTGGCTGCTAGGCTGGAGGGCTGGGTTCATGGGTCCTCTGGGACATTTTCTGCTCTCTAGGATGGGGGCTGCTGCTCCCTGCAAAGCCCCCTCACTCCAGACCTGCCTCCTGAAGCATTTATAGGCTTTGCTCCACTCCAGCCCCTCTCTTCTCACAAACCAGAACTCACCTGCTCTGCAACCACAGTCTAATGGGATTCCAAAGGCAGGGTTAGGACAAGGCCAGCGCCAGAGACCTCAGAACGCTTTTGCTCTGCCAACCTTGAAATTCCATTTCACATGGTGGCTCCTGGGCCCCATCACTGTAAACTGGAGCTCATGCCTCCAACTGTTCAGGGCAGAGCTGAGCTGTTTCCAGATCCTCTACCCACTGTGTGAGGCTGGCCCCCATCTACCACTGCATAGAAGGGCACTGACACCCCAAGGAGCAGCAGCACAAGTTGGAGGAGTCGTATGTCCAACTGGGTTCTCCTTGAGAAGGATGCAGGATTTCTTGCTTGGCTGACAGATGTGGAAACTAGGCCCAGAAGAAAGCAGCAGGTTTGCCCAGACTGAGCTACCTCACCTTCTTGGAGGGGTGCTGCTAAAAATAGTTCCTGGGAGAATGGGTCCTGGTGACGAGTGCTGCTTTCTTTCCCTGAGTCCACTCGCCAGCCTGCCACCCTCCACCACCACATCCTGCAATCCCACCCCTCTCCTGTGCCAGGAACTTGTTAACACCAGTACCATGCCCTACCAATACCCTTTGCTGACCCCAGAGCAGAAGAAGGAGCTGTCTGACATCACGCATCACATCGTGGCTCTGGGCAAGAGCATCCCGGCTGCAGATGAGTCCACTGGAAGAGTTGCCAAGTGGCTGCAGTCCATTGGCACCAAGAATACCGAGGAGAACCAGTGCTTCTACCACCAGCTGCGACTGACAGCTGACAACTGCATGAACACCTGCATCGAGGGCATCATCCTTTTCCATGAGATGCTGTACCAAAAGGTGGATGATAGGTGTCCCTTCCCCCAAGTTATCAAATCCAAGGGCAGTGTTGTGGGCATCAAGGTAGAAAAGGGGGTGCTATCCCTGGCAAGGGCAAATGGCGAGACTACCACCCAAGGGCCGGATGGGCTGTCTGAGCGCTGTGCCCCAGACAAGAAGGATGGAACCCACTTTGCCAAGTGGCATCATGTGCTGAAGATTGGGAAACACACCCCCTCAGCCCTCGCCATCATTGAAAATGCCAACATCAGCTGGGCGCAGCGGGTCACGCCTGTAATACTAGCACTTTGGGAGGCCGAGGTAGGCAGATCGCTTGAGGTCAGGAGTTCAAGACCAGCCTGGCCAACATGGTGAAACGTCCTCCCCTACTAAAAACACAAAAATGAGCTGGGCATGGTGGCACACACCTGTAATCCCAGCTACTCAGGAGGCTGAGGCAGGAGAATCGTTTGAACTTGGGAGGTGGAGGTTGCATGAGCTGAGATTGCACCACTGCACTCCAGCCTGGGTGACAGACTGAGATATCATCTCAAAAAAAAGAAAGAAAACAAAAGAAAATGGCAGTGTGTCAATGTCCTGGTCCGCTATGCCAGCATCTGCCAGCAGAATGGCATTGTGCTCATCGCGGAGGCTGAGATCCTCCCCAGTGGGGACCATGACTTGAAGTACTGCCAGTATGTAACCAAGAAGGTGTGGCTGCTGTCTACAAGGCTATGAGTGACCACCACATCTACCTGGAAGGCACCTTGCTGAAGTCCAATATGGTCACCCCGGGCCAAGCCTGCATCCAGAAGTTTTCTCACAAGGAGATTGCCATGGCAACTGTCACAAGCGCTACACTCTAGGGAATAAGTGGCCTAGAAGGATCACAACTGGGCCAGAACAGGGCCCACCCAGACTCATCACTGAGGCAGGTGGGGTCATTCTCATTTCACAGACACAAAAACTAAGTGCTACACTGCACAGTGTCCCCTGCTGTCCCTGGGATCACTTCCTATCTGGAAGCCAGAGCAAGGAGGTGTCCATTAACCTCAATGCCATTAACAAGTGCCCCCTCCTGAAGCCCTGGGCCCTGACCTTCTCCTACAGCTGAACCCTGCAGGCCTCTGCCCTGAAGGCCTGGGGCAGGAAGAAGAACCGGAAGGCTGTGCAGAAGGAGTATGTCAAGTGAGCCCTGGCCAATAGCCTCACCTGTCAAGGAAAGTACATTCCAAGCGGTCAGGCTGGGGCTGCTGCCAATGAGTTCCTCTTCTTCTTTAACCACGCTTAGTACACGGAGGTGTTCTCAGGCTGCCCCCCAGCACTCCAGGCCCTGCCCCCTCCCACACTCTCTTGAAGAGGGGGACTCCTCCTCGGGGCTGCAGGCTGGCTTGCCTGCCCTCTTGCCTCCCTCGTGACAGTGGTGTGTGGTATTGTCCGTGAATGCTAACTCCATCACCCTTTCCAGCACACTGCTAATAAACAGCTATTTAAGGGGGAAAAATAAAAATAGTTCCTGGGGCCCAGAACAAAAAGGGTGAATTCTGGGGGCTGGGGTTGACATTTTCCTTTTGCCTTGACCATTGGGTGGTACTATGTGCAGCAGCCCCTGATGGTGATAGTGATGGTGACGAAGACCATGATGCAGACTGGGTGGGAGGGAAAAAAGGCCCCAGCGCCATCCCTGGGATGGGGCCTGACCTTGCCTCAACTCCAGCTGCCCAGGGCCAGAGCAAGTGATAAGATGAGTTTATACTGGGGCTCTGAGAAGGGAGAGAGGGAGGGAGGGAGGAGGGAGAAGGAGGGAAGGAGGGCAGAGGGAGAGAAAGGGAAAAGAAGATGGGGAAGGAGGGAATGACAAGGGAGGCGTGACAGGCAAAGAAGGAGAAGGAGAAGAAGAAAAGAAAGAAGAAGAGGAGGAGGGGGCAGAGGCAGGAAGAGGAGGCCCAGAAGGATCACAACTGGAGCAGAATAGGGCCCACCCAGACTCATCACTGAGGTAGGTGGGGTCATTCTCATTTCACAGACACAAAAACTAAGACTTAGGGCATGAGGTGATTTGCTCAAGATCTCAGAGTTAGGACTAGAACTCATGGCTTATGCCTTGCCCTTCAAGGCCTCAAACCTTGAACCACTCAAGAAACATATCTCAAGATACCTCACCCTTACCTCACCAGAAAGGTGGGCTGGTTAAAATGCAGATTTCTGGGTCAAATCAAAGGAGTGTGGCCCAGGAATCTGCATTTTGACCAGTACCCTGGGGGTGGTTTTTTGGGCCCTGACACTGGGAAACACTGTGGCTCGTTTAGGGCCTTTCTGGTCTGACCTCTTGGTGCCAGGTCCTGACCATACTCCCATTGCCCAGCTGTTCGGGCTGACTCATGCTGATCCCCCACCCGCCACCCCCACAGGGCTGAGCCTTTTCCATCCAAGCCTTCACCCAGTCTCCCAGTCGTATGTAGATCCACCCTTCTAGCCAGCACCCGATTCTCTTCTGGAAGCCTTCCTCGTGGTTGGGATCCTCCTCTTTCAGCGCCTGTTGGAGTAATAGCCTCCTCCTCCTCCTCCTCCTCCATCTGGAGTTGCTTACAACACTCTATTTCACTTTCCATGTGAGTTGGCCTTGTTTCCCAATCTTTCTCTATATTAAACAGGAAACTCCCAGAGGGCTAGGGACTTGCCAGTTTAAACAATAAGCCTCTGAAATACAGGACTTCACCTGACCCTCCCGCCAGCCACAAGTGGCAGGGCTGGGAGAGCTTTACAAATCAGGAAACCAAGCCTTGAAGAGGTTGTGGCCTGCCCAAGTCTATGGCCAAGTAAGATTCACAGCTGGATTTGAAACCCATGCCCAACTCCATTATCCAGTTCTCTTTGCTTTGGCTTTTCCTCTGATTGCCCCCAAAAAAACCCTGTGAGGGCCGGGCACAGTGTCTCATGCCTATAATCCCAGCACTTTGGGACGTTGAAGGTGATCACTTGAGGTCAGGAGTTCAAGACCAGCCCGGCCAACATGGTGAAACCCCATCTCTACTAAAAATACAAAAATTAGCTGGGCATGGTGGTGTAATCCCAGCTGCTTGGGAGGCTGAGGCAGAAGAATCGCTTGAACCTGAGAGGCAGAGGTTGCAGTGAGCCGAGATTGTGCCACTGCACTCTAGTCTGGGCAACAGAGGGAGACTCTGTCTCAAACAAACAAAACAACAACAAAACAAAAAACAAAAACCAACCCTGTGAGGCAGGCATTTCAGGGGTTATGATCCTATTGCCCAGCTAAGGAAAGCAAGGCCCAAAGATGAGCAAAGCACTCAATACCATCCTTATTCTGTTCCCACTTACAGCTGCACTTGGGTCCAAGTGCTGACCTTTTCTCTCTCATCTTCTCTGGGTGATGGGCACTGCCCAGGATCCCTTGGCAGAATGGCACAGAACTGGGTCTTGAGCTCTCAGACCAAAGCACGCATCCTGGACAGGTCCCACTGCCACTCTGAACCCAGGTGCCTCCTCTGAAGGTGGAGACTCATCTCACCTGCCTTGCAGCCAGCTGGATGCTCAGAGAGGGAAATGCAAAGTACCTGGACACACCCTGGTCACCATCATTCTGGACTTTGTCCCTCTTGTTAATGCGTAGCTGGGAAAGGAATACTCTCAACAGCCCTTTCCTCAAGAATGGAGAGTACCTCTGAGCCTGGCACAGGCCCAGCCCAACTCAGCCCAAGCCAAGCTGGGAAGGGTGTGGAGCAAGGAAGCCAGACTGACATTCCCGAGAGGGGTTTGCCAAGCCCTACACTTCATGTGTTGTGCCAGAGAAACTCAATGGCAGTATGGCCCAACGCTGACCTTTGGGATGGAGGCCTAAGCCACCCTGCTGGTGCCCAGGGTGGCCAGCAAGGGGCTTCAGACAACCCCAGATGGAAAATAAAAATAGTGGCTAATATTTGTTACATGCTAACTATTGTCAGGCCCTGTGCCTCCCCCTCCGCCCCAAGTGCTCAGAGCTGTGGAATGGATGGGTTCCATCCAGCCCTGTTCCTCTGCCTCCTCTGGATCATCTTAGACCGGAAAGTGCCACAGCTGAGTGTCCCGCTTCTTCCGCATCCTGCCAGGACCACTCCATCTGTAGGGGATACAATCAGCTCCACCTCCTTCGGGAAGCCCTTGTTCACAGTTTCCAAAGCAAGCCGCAGATGGGATGGATCCTACTTAACACCTCGGCCCAGAACCCCTTGGATCTCCTTCTTCCTCCAGGTCCAAGACACCCATCTTAACAACCCTGTAGCCCCCAACTTGGCCCTAGCCGCCTCGACCTTGCCATTTTATACCCCACAATCGGGGCGTAGGGTTCTGAAGCCCAGGGTAGTTGGTGGGGAGGCAGCACGAGAGTGCAGGATGAGGTCGGGAAAAAAGACCTCGTCCGCTCACCGCCTGGCCCTTCCTCCTCCCGGCAGGCGAGCCGGGGAATCCCCGGCGGCACGGATAACCGCAGAGCCAAAGAAGTGGGCTTCTCTGCCCCGCCCGCCCAGCTCGCCGAGGGCGACGCGGCGCGCCTGCGCGGAAGAAGGCAGCGCCCACGGCGCATGCGCAGCGGTCACTCCTGCTATATATTAAGGCGCCGGCGATCGCGGCCTGAGGCTGCTCCTGGACAAGGGCAACGAACGGTTCGTTTGGACTTCTCGGCTTGAGTGCCCGCCTCCTTCGCCGCCGCCGCCGCCTCCGCAGAGTCCCCAGCGCAGGTGAGGGCCCGCGCGGTAGGTGCGGCGCCGGCCGGGGAAGTCCCCGCGTGTCCTGCCAGCCGGGGCACCTCTCCCCGGGGCGCTGGGACCCCATCCCCCACTGTCCCAGTCATCCGCCGCCTTGAGGTCAGCGTTTATCCTCCAGATCTTTTGCCTAGACGGCCGCCTCAGTTTCCCCCTTTCGGCCCCTTCCAGCTATTCCCGGTTGAACCCGCCGCTTTAGAATTCCCTTCTCATACCCCTCCCGTCATTCTCGAGACCTCGACCGCGGGTCACCTCTGACCCCCCACTGCCCGAGTACTGCCTTCTTTCTCCAGACTCAACTCCCTCAACTTTATAGCCCCTGCGCGTCCCCAGTGAGTCCCAAGGCGCCGGTCCTCATACCTCTACCCTCGTTTGTGCCCCTCCTTTCTCAGTTATGCCCAGTTCTTCCCGCTGTGGGGACACGACCGCGGAGGAATCCTTGCTTCAGGGACTCGGGGGCATGCTGGACTCCTTCCTCGGGTTTAGGAGTGCTTTCGGGGATGCGGGGACCAGGAGAAAGTCAGGATCCCTAATAGTCTTCCCTGTCTGGATAGATGAGTGGCGTCTTCCCTAACATCCCTTCTCCACCTGGATGTAAGCCAAGATGTCTTATCTGCACTGTGCATCTCCCTAAGAAACCTCTGGCCTCCCAAACCTGTTTTTGACTTGTGCTTCATCCTTCTGCCCCCTTGGCTATGTACTGTCAGTATTTATTTCATTTGGTGAAGTTGCTTTGTGTAGAGCTGGGGAATGAAGAAGTTGGTGACCCGTGTAAAATGTGGTCACCATTCCTTAGCTGAGTCTCACATCAGTGCTGTCCTTAGGCATTTTTGAGGGAGAAGTGTTAGTACTCCAGAGTACCCTTTATATAAACTGCAGGTGACACCTGAATCCAATGAGCTTGCGGTGATAGTTGCCTGATTATTAACAGCTGTTGATGTCACTCATCATCAGTCTTTCCACAGGAGCCAGCATACTTCTTGAACATGGAGACTGTTGTTCGCCGCTGCCCATTCTTATCCCGAGTCCCCCAGGCCTTTCTGCAGAAAGCAGGCAAATCTCTGTTGTTCTATGCCCAAAACTGCCCCAAGATGATGGAAGTTGGGGCCAAGCCAGCCCCTCGGGCATTGTCCACTGCAGCAGTACACTACCAACAGATCAAAGAAACCTCTCCGGCCAGTGAGAGTAAGTGTCACTGACAATGAAGGAGCAGGTACGGGTGTGTGTGCTCATTGGTGGACTAGAAGCAGTCCCCACAGTGGTGGTGAGGGCCACAGTCACTCACAAAGGGCTGCTCTATGCACAGATTATCTCATATGATTGTCACCCCAAGGGTAGGCACTTTTAGCCTTTCCATCTTTAAAGGTGAAACAGTGGCCAGTGTTGCACATTGCAGGTTTTTGGATTGCATGTTAGTGTCTGTTGGGATTTTGGTGTTTCCTCAGTGCCTCGTTCACATAAATATTAAATTGGAGTGTTCTAATTTCCCTCATTAAACATTTGGCCTTCAGCTTTTTATTTATTTAGTTTTTCT